GGTTTGTACCCCCACTGCAAGGGTTAATACATTTCTTCCAGAGTTCCAGAGTTATTCTTTAACCTCTGCACGGTATGCATACGTAGAACGCTCAGATGGTACATTTTCAATATACGCAGACATTGTGTCAATACCGCGCAGTAAAAGCACTTAGCGTCCTTCCCGCTTGGAATATGACCTGTTCTTGGCAGCCAGTTTCAGATCACATTTCAGGGAAAACGCCTAATGGCAAGAATGGACTATATGTGGCGGCGGCAGCGAGCCTTTTACAGGATTCCATTATCCAGGCGGTCAGAGACATGGCGGAGGTAGAAACCAAAATGTATTATTAAGAAGTCCTGAACAAACCGACTCTGCGTACATCACATTCACCATTAATCAGCTCAAATCTCAGCAGAAACATGAATAAATCCGGCTGGTTTCTTTGGGCAACACAGACAGTACTTTCTTCGGAGACCTTTAATGAACCCTGTAGTCCAACGCTCCCAGGAAATACTACAATCTCACGTTTAGTTTACTCATTTGTATTGAGATTGTAGTCCATCCCGGGAGCGAGCTTGGAGCGGTGACTACTTTACAACACACACAGGGACCATGGGGAACAAAAGCAGCCCCCCTCCAGAAGGAAGCACAGTGTCAGCACCAATTCAGAGATGATTGGAGGATCTACAGCCGAGTGATACACAAATAAGATACATTGTTATGGGACTTTATTTTTGAGATGCAACTCCTGAGTGTAGTGTCACTTTAAGCTGGCCATAGACGGCTTGCATTTCCTCTGATTCTTGCTGAAATGGACAATATTTGAGGTGTGGGTGGCCCTGCGAGCACTTAACTTCCTGAATACAGCGGTGGTGGCGAACCCTGACCTCATCTGACAGGATGCAGTCACTGTATGTCCGATGAGTGTTCTCCCGGTATTACAAAAGTCAAAATTGAAAAATCAACTGAGCCGGATGGAAAATTATCAGCTGAACAGCAACTGCGTCCCATCAGTCACTGTGTTCAGGCAGCCCCGGGTCCCGTGGCCGGTAACCTCACTGTATTTAGGCACCCCCGGGTCCCTTGGCCGGTAACGTCACTGTATTCAGGCATCCCTGGACCCCATGGCCGGCAACATCACTGTATTCAGGCCCCCCCTGGTCCGGTGGCCTATAACGTCACTATATTCAAGCACCCCCGGGTCTCGTGACGTCACTGTATTCAGGCACCCCCGGCCGGTAATGTCACTGTATGCAAGCACCCCCGGGTCCCCTGGCCGGTAACGTCACCGTATGCAGGCACCCCCGGGTCCCGTGGCTGCTGAACACAACAGCCGGCAGTAAGACATTCCTCCATCTATACGGTTTAGCATCGTTGGGGGAATGGATTGGTTCGCTCTCATTTAACCCTCAGGCTGAACGAGAGAAAATCAAGCCGTGGAAAGCCAGTTTAAAAGGTGCCCATACACTGCACAATTCTAGTACGAGTATCGCGATCCCGCGATCGTACGAGAATCGTGCAGTGTATGGAAGGCGTGCGACCGTTTCTAATGTACGGTCGCACGACTTTTGTATATCGAGCATGTTGGAAAACCAGCCGAGAATTGTACGATTTTCGGCTGCTTTTTAACATGAATGAGAGATCACTGCCGAACGGGCCGGTGTGCGCACGCGCACACTGCCCGTTCAGCATTGCAGTCATCGGAAGCACGCCCCTCGGGGGGGCGGGCTTGCGATGATCGCAGGTACGATCTGCCTGTCCAAGATGGGCAGATCGTACGTTTTTTTAAAGTACTTTACAACCCTCGCAAGACAGAAGTCTTGCGAGGGTTGTAAAGTGTATGGGCACCAAGCAGCAAACTGAAAGCAACCCCATATGGCACTACAGAGGACTGTAGGCACGGGAGGAAGCGGTGCCAGGTTTAGGCGGCACTTTTGTTTTCAGAACGGAGAACGACTTATTGACTCCTGCACTTGCCAAAAACATCAGCTTTGCTGAACCTCTGTCACAGCATTCTATAAAGGATTACAAAATCAAGGCACGGACCCCTGGAGCAAGCAATAGATCCTGCATCACATGACTGAGGCATTGCTCGCCATCATCCCGGCTTAGGACAAATGAAACATGAAATGATCCGCGTATAATACACTTAAAAGCATTTATTTCTCAACACTGTAAATGACACATAACACTGCAATACTTCTGAAAGGTGCTTTTCTCCATCGAGAAGCCTCGGTTTACTCACAAGTACTCTCAAAATTCCCCTAATGGGCAGGGAAGTCTAAATATAGAGCTACCTTAATCTCTTTACAACTATGGCTTGAATAACAAGGTCCCGGTAATGCTCCAAGGCCACTGATCTAATAAATACTTATATACAAGATAGAGAGATCTTTGTTAACAATAACAACGACTTTACTGAATAACAGCACACAGCGTCGTCGTAGCGGAACCCCAGGCAAAACCAGATTGTAACACTGGGGTGGGCAACTCCGCCCTCCAGCTAGGCTTTAACTACAAATCCCAACTTGCCTCTGGGAGTCATGCCTGTAATGGTCAGTCTGGCAATCCTCATGGGACTTGTAGTTCCACAACAGCTGGAGGGCCAGGGTTGCCCACCTCTGGTCTAGCAGAATGGAGTGCTGAGACGAACTGGGTAACTGCACGTCATGGGCACAGGGATGATTTGACAAAAATGTCCGAAACATGAACTGCAACACGATTCTGATCGGAGCTGTAAGCAAACATGGGGAGGCAAACAAAGGGTCCAACTGGCTGCTATGGCGATGGGGTATAGACAGTTCTTATTTCAGGCACAATAACAAAGGATCATAAAGAATGAAGAGAAATATAAAGGCTGCTGTGTGCCGACTAGATGCCTGGCTGCCGTGCTGACCCGATGCCTGGCTGCCGTGCTGACCCGTATCACTTGATGCATGGCTGTTCCAAGTCACTGATTTACTAAAAGGAGTTGAGAATGAGGTGTGAAGATTCACTTCAATTATCCAATCACATGAAAAGAAAATCCCAAATCAATTATTTCTTCTGCACACGAATGGATAATTGAAGGGAATCTTCACACTTCATTCTCAACTCCTTTATTAAAGATTGCCAGGCAAACAGCATTTCCAGAACGAGTGAAGCAGTGACATCCTCCATATTTCTCTCTGTACATATTGGGGGGAATTGATCAAATCTGGAGCAGCTGGGCATGGCAACCAATCAGCTTCTCTCTTCAGTTTGCTCAGTTAGGATTTGAAAATGAAAGAGAAGCTGATTGGTTACTGTGCACAGCTGCAGCAGTTTTGATAAATTGTCTTCATTTTCTTTAAAGTGTATGTAAAGGCATTTTTTTGACAGCATAGGGGAGGGTTAGACCCTCTGTCAAGTTTCTACTGCTGTCTGTGTCATCACTGGGAAGACCGACCCCTCTAAGTAGGGGAAAGCCATAATTTTTAAAAGTTGTCACCAGAACAAGAGGTGAAGGAAGAAAATCCAATGGAGACACCTTCACCTGCCTAAGATGGGAACTCATCTCATTTCCAGGACAGGAAAAGAAACCTCTGCAGCGGGACACAGCAAACTATAACCAGAGGTTTTAACCCTTAACTACTCTAATACACACAATGAGGTTCTGGCTATGCATACACTTAAAAGAAAACTTCTCCTGCAGACACATGGAGACGGCTGTCCCCGACTTTTCACTCTGCAAATGCCAATTCCCATACTGGGCATCTTGTTCAAATACTCTCAGCCACTAACTCCGAGCAATAACGCAGACCGGGATCTCTGACGTTTCAGAAACACATACATTCTCTGGGTCAGAGACTAAAAGTATTTGTGCCAGAGGTCAGTAGAAAAGCTAATAAGCGCACATTTAAAGATGGAGGCCAGCATTGCCACCCAAATATTTATTTAATGGAAGGTTTGCTTTAAAGCTGAACTCCAAAGAAAAGAAAAATGCTGCCCCTGACCCCATAACCTCTTCTCTAAGGTGCTCCAGCACTGCAGGAACTCTGATGTCATCAAGTACAGTGCAGAGCCATTAGCTATGCATTGCTTGCAAGGATGCCAACATCCAGAGCGTCAGGGAGAAGTGGAGAGCACCGGCTGCTGGGAGAGAGGGAAAGGACGAGTGAAAGTACTTTATACCGATACCCCAGGCATAAAGAAGCATTTAACCCTTGCAGTGCAGGGGGAGCCCCACTGCAACGGGAGAATTTTTCTTCTCCTTGGAGGAGTTCAGCTTTAATTAGGCAAAAGAGAAAAAATACAAACAAACATCGTGCACTAAACGCAATTAAATATAGCGGCTTTCTAAAACAGATTGTTTTCTATGGGTTACAGCACACGATTGTTCTACAGAGCAAAACTCGGGGAAATATTTTCTTTTACATATCATTCTACCCATGTACATTATTATTTAGGTGTATGCACCTTGCAGCATGCCTGCTCACACAATGCTGGGCTTCCAGATGCCGGAAGCCCAGCATCAGATGCAAGGCATGAATTGCATACTCTACAGCAGCCACCCACAAACCGTATACACCTTATTAGTGTTGACATACAAAGCTAGAACAGCGTGCAAAAGAAAATGGGGGGAATTTAACAAAACTGGAGCAGAGATATATGGAGCAGTGGCCCATAGTAAACAATCAGTTTCTTTGTTCGGTTTGCTCATTCAAGCTTTGAAAATGAGAGGCGCTGATTGGTTGCCATGGGCAACTGGCCCAGTTTTTGTCTGCTCCAGGTTTTGATACATTTCCCCCCTCCAGAGTTCAGCTTTATTAAAAGCCAAGCATACAGGGATCCCACCACCCTAAATATGGAGTGGTTTTTCTAATACTAACCTCAAAAAACCTTCAGTCAAACTTACCAAGAGACCCAGCACACCAGTTTCTGCATTTTACAAATAAAATATAGACAAAAACAATAATACTGAACTTAAATAAGAGTAGCGGGGGTGTAATTGGACTCTGCCAGACAAAGTGCTTGCATACTGTACACATGGCAGCCGATTACAAGGCTTTAGTGGCGTAGATGTCTGTGGGCGACAGCTCCTCCCCATTAACCGTAGGAATCTGTCCGGCAGGTTTGTTCGTCCGCTGCGGCGTGGTCGGTGGAAAAGTCGGGCTCAGGAACGTCTCTTCCCTCCCGACCTGCTTTTGCAGCACCTTGTTCAACAGGGGTTTGAGCAAGCCTACGGTTAAATGGGCCCCGGCGTCTCCGGAGAAGGGAGGAGGGCCCGACGGGGTTTTGGGTGTATTCTGAAGGACGATGCGTAAGATGTCCGTGGCGGTCAAGTCCTCGGGGCAGATTTGGCAAAGCTGGGGCGCGTAGGGGTCCAACTGTCTGTGCTTGACGAACTCCACCAGCAGCGTGATAAAAACGTCCTTTTTGATCAGCGGATTGAGCTGCGAGTAGCGGAGCGTTTCCTCCATGACCCTGGACCAGCGCTGGAGGCGGATCAAGGTGTGTATGGCCTGGATGATGGCTTGCGGCCGGCCGCTGCGCAGCAAGATCTCCACCTCCAGGTCAACGTTAGTGTTTTCCTTACGCTTGTTCAGGACGGCGAGCGCCCGCTTGTACAGTGGCGCCCCTTCGCAGTGTTCTTTGGTAGTAAAATTCCAGTAGAGCCCCGAACAGTCCTGGGCGTGCTGAACGAACTCAGGCAGCCATTTTGGTTTGTGCGCGCACAGCGACTGGCAGACGACCTCGAACAGCGGGTAGACTCCGTTCTGGGAGCTCTCCCTCGACGCCAAGGGGAGGGGGCTCAAGACTTTCTTCCAGAGGTCGGCCGTGGCGCGCACCACCATCTTCCCGTCTCCGTTCCGCTGGAACTGGAAGTTGTTCCTGATGGACATCCAGGCCGATTTGGGGAAGGCGGTAAACAGGGAGTTTATATACATCAAGCTTTCTCTGTCCAGTTCCGCCTGGAGGAGGCGAGTGATCTCCAGATCCACCAGCTCGTCGCAGTACTTGGCGACTTCGGCGCCTGGCACGTTGACGATGCAGGATTTCAAAAGCTCCAGGCTTTGGAAACTCTGAAGCTCGTTGTCGATGTTGCTCAACAGGTCGGAGTTCACATCCTTGGGCTTTCCGTTTTTCTGACCGAGGATGGCCGAGAGGGTAATGGGAGCCTGGAACATGCCGTTTTCCTTCAGGCTCTGCACGGTCAGCTTGGCGCTGCTGAGGCTCCTCCTCTGGTAATACTTGCACGCCTCCTCGTAGACCATGTCCAAGAGGGCCGACTCCGCCGTGCTGCTACCTCCGGCACCACGGCTTATTTTGTAAACGCCGGCCTGGGTCAGCAGCTGGACGTCTCCGGCCCCCAACACTTCCATAAGGAACACATGCCCATCGTTCAACAGCTGCTTTGCCACAAGCCTGCCGGTGCGGATGTCAATGAGGTGCAAAGCAGCTTCCACCGTGCAGACCAGCGTGTCACCGGCGACCGCCATTTTGACTTGCGCGTCCGTGGCCAAGTTGCCTTCGAGGTCAATGACGTGCCGTACGGTTCCGTCCTGCTGCAGCAGGTGTATCCGCCCGGCGGCCGTCATGACCAGCAGATGTGCAGAACCGGCGGTGGCAAAATATTGAGTCTCAGGGTCTGCCTGGCGGGTCATGACCCCAATGCACTCCAGGGTCAGCTTTTTGTAATCCATGTCACCCTCGGCCAGGGCTTTGGCATGGATGACGCCAGCGGTGAGGGTGGACAGGGTGATGGCGGCCTCAGCCAGGGCGTAGACCAGGATAGGGTGCCGTCTGGTGTTGGGGATCATGAAGACGCAGCTAGGCGAGGGCACAAGGGTGTAGAATGGGCTGTGATGGAGGACAATCGCCATGGTTCCCAGGGCGACCCGGCACCCACTGACTCGGAGGCTCCGGCGACACAGACAGTAGCTGAAGTGGTTCGAGGTGGCCCGCTCCTCGCACCACAGCAGATCCTCGCCTTGGCTGCAGCAGACGGAGGCCACCCTGGCCCGCGGGCCGTGGCACAGCTCCACGCACTGAAGGAGGGTCCATGATCGGTCACTAGATCCCAGGGGAGGGCTCCATACCTCGGCCCGGCCGCTCTCCCACACCAGGGCCACATACCACGGCTGCCCCGGGCTCTGGAGGAAGAGCAGCCCGCACAGGGGCAGAGACTGGGCCGGCCAAAACGCAGCGCCTCACGCAGGGCCTGCGGCCTCCCATAGTCGTCATAGTCCGACACTAGCTCGGCTGGCCCGAACTGCGTCATGTCCCGTCCGCGCTCGCCGAGCCCTTATCCCGGCATAAGGGAGTCCGGGCTGCCCTGCGCATCACGGGACCAGCCCCCGCCTAACTTCCGGCTCACCTGTGCGACTTTCCACACCCCCATTGGCCGCCTAAAAACACCGCCATCCAATCCCAATCCACTTAGGCGAACAGCCGGCCAATCGTTGCTGTTTAGGGGCGCGGCTTTCAAATGCCTGGTGCGAACCTTTCCTTTCATTGGCTGCCGGCGATATTCGGCTTCCAATAAGCTAGCGGCTTTCGAGATGGGGCCAACCAATCGAAGTTTGTGATTGTAGTTTGGGGGGAGAGGACTCCCTCGTCATCATCAGGCGGGGCAGCGAGATGACAGGAGAGGTGGGAGGGGGAAGATCGTGTCTGTGGAACGTACCATCAGCCAAGGAAGCATGGGGGGAGGCGGTTGGAGGGTACGATAGGGTAAAGCAGGCCGGAGTAAACAATAATAGCAGGAACACCCCTCTACTGAGACTTGCCGGATTCCAGCGCTGTATCCTGGCTGGAGCTGGGCCTGGGCTGCACGGGGGTGAGCGTGGATGGTTGGTGCTGGGTGAGTAGTACAGTGTGGAGGAATGGAGGAGCACATTGTGGGGGGAAGGGGAACATAGCAAGGCAGCTGGCCAACTCCCAACATGTCCTGTCAGCTGAAACTTGTAGTGCCACAGGCCCCCCTCTCCTGACTGACAAATGGCCAACCCACAGGGCTCAGACATGAAAGAGAACCTGTCACAAGAAAATGTGAACCCTGACTGTGTGTTAAAGCACCGCGTATCATAAATAACTAGCATAAAATACAGTTGTCACCTTCTCCTTCAATCATTTTCTGCATCTTAGATCTCCTGCAGCCTATTTTAGCCACTTCCTGTCTACATGCGCTCCCTCCAGAGTCGGCTGCTCATCATTCAGCTGGACCAGTGTCCTGACAGTGGTGGACCACACCTGAACGATGCGCGTCAGCACACCGCTTGCATTCTTCACCTGGGGAGCGTGTCATAGGGTGACAACACAGGAGCTTAATTGGGAGACAGTTGTCACCCTATAACAGGAAGTGTTTGAATGAGGACCGTCATAGATATGAAAACTGCAGATTTAAAAAGATTAACGTAGTACTAAAGCCTCTTCTCTGTATACACCCCCATTATCTTGTATACACCCCCATCATCCTGTTTCCTTTCTGAACTTCCTGTTGGATATGAAACAGGATGTTACAGCAATATTTCCTGATTCATTCAGCGGGACTACAAGTCCCATCATGTCTTGCCTCGTGTCTTTATTTTTTTGTAGTCACCCCAGGGCTGCCTGTGCCAGTCAGCGTGGGCATCGTCATCATGCCCCCCACTGTAGTCACCATGAAAGGGTGGCTCCATAGGTCCCTGCAAGGGAAAGGAGCCAGCTGGAAAGGCGGGCCGGAGCTCAGGGGACCAGCTGAATCTGAGGAAGAGAAGACATTGTAGGTGAGAGTGACGTGTCTTCCTCCTGGGATAGCGACGTCACGTATTCCCACAGGTCAGGAAGAAGCATCTGGCTCCACCTCACCAGAGGACTGGAAGGGACAGCCGGCCTCCTGAGATAAGGAATACAAAGATGGCGGCATGAGACGGGCAGAGGACGATCGGCTCGGGGGGAAAAGGACAAATCAAGATTGGCTGGAGTTGTAGGTATATTTCTCGTGGATATATGGACATCAAAGGTAAGTGGCATGTGGGGGGATGGGTTCCCCTTTAAAGAACTCCGGGCAGCATAAAACGTACCCCAAGCACCTAACCCTCTGGCCCCATTCACACTGAGCGATTTGCAAATCGCGTGATATCACGCAAATGCTTGCATTGAGCAAGCTAGAATCGCGGCAAAATCCGCTCCAAAAAGGGTCCTGCTGTAGCGACACGCGACAGCGACGGACAGAGCCCCATTGCCATGCATTGGAGAGCGATATCGCGCGGTAAATAGCCGCGATATCGCGGGAATTACCGCGCGATAAATCGCTCAGTGTGAACGTGGCCTTACAGAGCGGGAGTAGCTCTGCCGGGGTTACATTTTATTCTGCTTGGAGTTCTTTTTTAAAGCTCAACCCCATTCAACAATCTTCCCCCTCAAACTATCCTGCCGGGTGTTTACTCCCCATCCAGGTCCATTGCTGACGCCATTTCGGCCAGCTTGGACCGCTAATCTAGCGCTGCGCAGCAACCCTCGCCAGCCGGTCCCCTTGACTCCCCTATGGCCGACATCAGTAGTCCTCTGAATCCGGAGATTACCCTCTCCGAGTGAACAGCCAATGGGAATGCCAGCTGAAATAAGGACCCCAACAGGAAGGCGGTAGGGACTTGTTGACCCGGGGTAAGCAACCTTGACACTCCAGCTGTTGTGGAACCACAAATCCCATTATGCCCCAGGATCTTAGCAAGAAAGACAACTGGATACTAAAGAACACACTTGTGGGACTACAACTCCCACAAGGCATTGCAACACTGACAGCCACAAGCATGATTACCAGAAGCCTCTGCCTCCGGGAGTCATGCCTGTGGCTGCCAGAGTCTTGCAATGCCTTGTGGGACTTGTTGTTCCACAAGTTTTGTCCATAGTATCCAGTTGTCCTTCTTACGGTGGCCCTGGCGTTTTGTAGTTCTTTAAAAAGAACTTGTAGTGTTAACCTGAAAGTGACTGGTTCTCTTCTTCTGAACCCCTTAGACTGCCCCTTACACTCAGCCACAATCTAAAGAGGCGCCATGTGCACCTCGCTGTAACGCTGGTAACGAATTGATGAGTGCGTTTGCCATTTGTTTTGCTTGACTGGTTTGGTGCAGTGACGCATGGGGGGCCTCAGCTGCCGTTGTGATGTGCGGGGTTCCTTGTGCGTCCCTGTGCCTTTAAGGGAGGTTGGGCTTCCTCCTGACAAACCTGCACCCAATTTTATCTTCTGCCTCATGTGCTCCAAAGAGACAAGTTTTTTTGCATGCTTGCTTGTGAGTGCGCTGGGAAAACTATTTGCTGTTGTGCCCGGCGACTTCCCGAAAGTAGATCTAAACCCAGTCGCTGAAACCTCGTCTAAGCTTTACCATGTTACTATTATTTTGAACATTGTTTTAAATCTTCACCAGAATCTCGGCTGATCATGACATGAAGGTCCTTGTTCAGGCACCTCCTGTAGTGGGGTGACAACTGTCTCCCAGCGGTGCTCCTGCGTTGTCACCCTGTCACATGCTCCTCAGATAAAGACTACAAACAGGCTGTGCTGACACATATTCCGCAAAGGCATCGTCCTCTGTTGTCACAAAATGGGAAGCTGGACTGGAGCAATGCTGTGCAGCGTCGGCTGGAGCATGTAGACAGGAAGTGGCTGAAGGTGGTCAGTAGCACTGAGATGCAACAAAGAATGAAAAATAGGTCAAAATGGTTGTCATGAAGTATGATTTCTATGAATTATTTTAGGGGATGGGTGTAGTGTCTGGCATTTGAAAAGCCTCCTCTCCTCCTCCCGGGTGAAAGGGGAGCATATAACGTCCTGCGCTTATATGTGGCTTCCTGTGGATGTATATCATTTCCTGTGGATGCAATTGGCTTCCTGTAGCTGTATGTGTGTTCCTGTGGATGTATATGGCATCATGTGGATTCATATGACTTCATGACTTCCTGTGGATGCACATTACTTCCTGTGGATGTATACGACTTCCTGTGGATGCACATGACATCCTGTGGATGCACATTACTTCCTGTGGATGCACATGACTTCCTGTGGATCCACATGACATCCTGTACATGCACATGACTTCCTGTACATGCACATTACTTCCTGTGGATGTATACGACTTCCTGTGGATGCACATGACATCCTGTACATGCACATTACTTCCTGTGGATGTATATGACTTCCTTTGTATGCACATGACTTCCTGTCTATGTATATGACTTCCTTTGTATGCACATGACTTCCTGTCTATGTATATGACTTCCTTTGTATGCACATGACTTCCTGTCTATGTATATGACTTCCTTTGTATGCACATGACTTCCTGTCTATGTATATGACATTCCTTGTATGCACATGACTTCCTGTGGATGTAGAGTATATTGCTCCTGGATAGTCTGTCATCTCTCTCTGATCTAAACACTTCTCAGGTGGCTGCTGGGTGCCGCCATTGGCCATGTGACTCCATTGGCCCCAGCAGACTGTCACGGATGGGGCCACACTAGTATTCAGTCTTGTAGAGGCCATAGTGTGCCAAACCAGCAATTATTGCTGCCTGGCCTGCTGAGAGGTCTCCTGAACACAGCCGGCTGTCGGACAAAGGAGATGTAGTAGCGTGTCATGTGCCACTGCAGCAGAGGGACTCCTGGATGACTCCGGCATACATCTGGTGACGTCACAGCACTTGTAGTCCATTGTTCACTTCCTCCAACCCCATAACAGAATGTCCGTACCTTCGGAGGTACAGACCCGGGGCTGGAATGTGAACAATGCAGGAGCCTGTACAATGCACTCATGATGCTCTATTCATAGGTGCAATGCTCTGCAGGCTTCCATGTGAAAACATCATTATTGTTTGCTGGTGGTATTCTGCATTGCTGTATAATGTATTGCTGGGATTTGTAGTTCTTTATAGCTGGTGGTGTTATTCTGCATTGCTGTATAATGTATTGCTGGGATTTGTAGTCCTCTATAGCTGGTGGTGTTATTCTGCATTGCTGTATAATGTATTGCTGGGATTTGTAGTCCTCTATAGCTGGTGGTGTTATTCTGCATTGCTGTATAATGTATTGCTGGGATTTGTAGTCCTCTATAGCTGGTGGTGTTATTCTGCATTGCTGTATAATGTATTGCTGGGATTTGTAGTCCCTCTACAGCTTGGAGTCAGTGGCAGAACTAGCAGGGGCGTAGCGGTTTGTTTTAGAAAAACTGTCACATGACTGTAAAAAAAAAAAAGTTTTCTTCGGGCTGAATTTTTTAACTGACATTTTTCTGCTGGTTGAATGCTCTTTGAGTGTTTTTTTCTTCAGATTGAATTAGGAATGCACCGATACTGGTACTTCCGGTAGCGTTGAGCCGGCTTCCCGGGCAACCAGGAAGCAGGCGGCGTGTCATTACCCACCGCCCGGCTTCTTGATTGCCTTGGAAGCTAACTCCATTCAGTTTGGCCGGCTCGATGCTGATTGGCCGTGAAGCCAGATTCCCAGCCAATCGGCATCGAGGCCGGCCAAAAAGATCTGACAATATGGTGACACGACCCCCAACCCTGCAGACACCTCATTCCCCTCACATAGATCCTCAGCAGCCATCATTACCGTACCTGTCCCTCTGCCAGCTGGTGTGTTTTACATCACTTTCGCATTCACCTGTCATTTCTCTGGCTGCTATAGCCAGAGAAGAAGCTGGTGGAGCAGATCTGTGCTTCATCAGCTTCTTTGGGGGGTCCCTAGGTGACATTAGAGGGACATAAAGAGAACCTGTCAGTGTGCCTGTGCTATCACATAGGGGGATTGTTATAACATGAAGTGTAAAAAAAAAGAAAAAATTAAAGTCGCATGTATAAAAAAAAAATTAAAAAATACCCCCCAAAAAATGTTTAAGTCCCCCACCCCCACGTATTTGCACATATAGACGTCAATACGCATCGGGTGCGCCAATGCACGAAAAACGACAATTGTGCTGCACGTTGTTCTGAGATGCTATATGTTGGCACAGGGCAGGATCATTGTAGGAATCTGCGATATGACACTGAACCCAGTCATTGCTCTGACCCGATGTACAGAGATTATAATATACCTGGAAATGACCCCCCCCCCCCGGATCCCCCTTTCCTAAAAAAAAATAATAACAAGCTGTGAAAGGCCCCCCCCCCCCGGTATCTCCTATACTTTAATTTTCTTTGTTTTGTTTATATGACATGCCCGCTGTTTATTTGTAGCACGCAGTTCCTGTTAGTGTTCATTAGATAGCTTGTTGTTGTGGTTCCAGCCAAGCTGGCAGACAAAGGCTTGTGTGTTCATAGCCAACGTCATGGCGGATTCCAGAACACAGTTGTGAGCCAGGCGGCAACGCACAGCGATTAGATATGGCTGCTTTGTATAATGTGCGCCATCCAATCAGCGCACTCTTCCCGATTTTCAGCTTCTTTTCACAGATCTCGTGAGTCCTTTATTCACGGAATTTCCCACGTTTTACACTATTCACCCTACAGAGATCCACTGATATAGTACAGAAAGCTCATCTATCTATCTATCTATCTATCTATCTATCTATCTATCTATCTATCCAACGAGATCCCCCCCTTCACATCAGAGTCCTCCTCTTTGCTGACGAGTGACGCTGTGTGAAATAGTGAGGCTCCCCTTACAAAGTCAGGCAACACCCTGGTTGGGAGAGGCTGGCCTATCTATGTGGAGATTTGTCTGGTATGGGTTATATTAGGGCACACCTCCCCAAAAGGACAGAGGCTCTAACCCTTCCCAACACTATCTAAAGCTAATAAGGATGTTCAGGCTGGAGTTCCACTTAACGATCCATATAGACTAGCCTCCTGTACCCGCCCCCTCCTATGACATCATTCTGATTTGGCACAGCTCTGATATGCAATAAGAAATCCGGGTGATTCTCCATTTTATCATGGGATAAATTGCCTGGGTCAGGGATATCATGGGATACATTTCCCGGGTCGGGGATATCATGGGATACATTTCCCGGGTCGGGGATATCATGGGATACATTTCCCGGGTCGGGGATATCATGGGATACATTTCCCGGGTCGGGGATATCATGGGATACATTTCCCGGGTCGGGGATATCATGGGATACATTTCCCGGGTCGGGGATATCATGGGATACATTTCCCGGGTCGGGGATATCATGGGATACATTTCCCGGGTCGGGGATATCATGGGATACATTTCCCGGGTCGGGGATATCATGGGATACATTTC